CAGTGTTGGTTCTTCTGGAGTATTAAAATGATATTTTTCTAGAATATAACATATATTCTTGATTATGATTGTCCGCAAATAATTGAACATTATTCTTCAAGAATATTGATACATTTAAATTAATCATATTATTCTCCTAGAATACTTTAATGTATAAGCCGTTATTTGAAACAACCAAATATTCTTCTAGAGTAATGGATTATTTGTATATATGGTATGTATCTCTAGAGCATTAACATCAGACTCATATAAAATTAATAATCAAGATTAATACAATATTGATTTTTCTGACGCCTTGAATAAGATTTGAAATCACATATTTAGTTATGCCACTTCAATATAAACACAATGTTATTTTAAAATACTGATTTGTATAAATTGGTTCAAATGATTCTACAATATTTTTCTGGAATATTTAAATATCTGAATCATATTTCGTTCTAGAACAACAGCTTATTATTCTTCTATAATATTAATTTAATATAAAAGTATGTTTCTTCTAGAACAATATGTCAATATTCGTTTGAAATATTGAAATTGTAATGTCATCCTCTTTAGGAGCAGATAGTATCATAATAAAAACATATGCTTCTTCTTGAGCATTAGTTAAATAAAAAGGTTTGACCGATCAAAAGCTCCGTAAATTTAATATATAATAAAATAAAAAGACTTTTAAAGAATACATCTACTTGGATTTGAAAGTTTTAGAGAATCTTGAATATTTAACAAATCTCATATTCTTCAAAGACATAAATTTGAAAAATTAAATCTTCAGAATTTGGTACTGTTCATGTAGCCATTTCTCACATATAAATCATAGAATTTTGATCTTAACCATTGGATTTGAAAAACAATGAGTTGTTAATGTTCTGCCCAAATTTCCAGATGATTAGCAATGAAACGCAGAGATATTGATGTTTGATTATAGCTGCTATAGATTGATGATGGTACAATATTCTTTAAGAATGTTGGAACACAGAATGTTATACTCTTTCGGAGCAATAATTAATATTCTTTTGGAATATTAACAATATAGAAAATTATTTTTCTTATAAAATTACAATTCAAGATTGAGTTGTTATATTTGTGCTTTTTCTGGAACACCAACAAATTATAATTAATCATATAAAATTTGCTCTTTAGAAGTAATAGAATAATATTATTATTAAATCCAAACATTCAAAACTTAGCTAACGAATTTTATGCACTTCTTCCTTTGTTTCTTAACATTTCAATTCATACTTTCCTTGTGCCAACATCCCTTCAATATTATGTAGTTTTTCATTTACTTCCAATTAGTTATTCAATTCCAAGTTTCTATCAATTGTATTAATTTAAAATTTTATAGAAATTCGTTATGGATTACATCGAAACATGGATCTAGATTAATTTGTTAGCAGTTCCATACTCCTGCATATTAATTTTCTCATGCATGTAAACTCCAACTACATAAAATGGGTATAACAGAACCAATCAGCAATGTTCCTGATTAATATTTGGAAGAAGTAGACTCTAACAGGAGATTAAAGAATAAAAATGTTTGTGAGCTAACTTCGGCTGTTGGAATCACTTCACAAAAAAGAAGACATTGGAGAATGGGAAGCCGATTTGGAAAGCTTCCTATAATTATTGTGGAATTGATTTTACTTGGAAACAAAAAATTGACACAACCTGTGTTGGGGATGCTAATAGTACAATAAGAATTTTAAAAAAATAAAATATCTTACTCGTATTGGGGATGCTAATAGTAGGCAAGCTCAACTTTATTTGGATTTAAGCAAAGAGGGACCTTCCAAGGCAATCACGATCTAAACCTAGAAATAATGTGGGGAGGAAATGGTTATGTTTGTTACCTGTGCTGAATTGCTGATATCCACAATAGAAAGTGTTCACCTATCATTCAAACATGTCTCTAACCATGGTACAAATTGACAAGTCGAGGTACGTTACGGAATAATACAATTAATTTATGTTGTATTAAACAATCACAAATTACAGGTAATTTAACAAACTATAAAAGGTGTCATTTTGTCTACTTTCAATTTGTGGTCCATAAGAAACCACAAAGGCTATATTTGCACAATCATCTAAATTCACTATTAAGTTTTGGATCATGCATAAAAAATAATTACATTTAAAGTAATTTAATTTCCACACAATGCACATAATATTTTCAATTTTTTAATGCCTGTACTATGAAAATGTTCTTGTGAAGGCAAGATCCACAGTCTTATGTTTGATAACGCTGGTACTAACACAAAAGTTGTATACAAATTGATGAACACACTTGATCCGGATTTCAATGGAAAACTTCTTCAAGTGCATTATTTTTTATTTATTTTGAATTTGATTGCAAAATATGACCTTAAATATATTGCATCATAGCTCGCAAAAAGCATAAAACCTATTACTTTTATTTGTCTCTCCTTGCAAACAAGCGTTTGCGAGTTTATGTATGTATGATAAGTTGTTCAACACGATGTTTGCAACATATATATACACACATATATAGTAGGGGGAACTCTACTAATCTCGTGCTATAGTCTTTGTTGGGTTTTAACACCCAATAAATCCGGATGATGATTTAAAATAGTTAACGGATTTTTTATCAACACCAAAGTGACGGCTCAACTCGGAAACAATTAATACACCTTTGGAGGGCCTGAGTTTTGAGTTAGGTTAGTAGCTTGGTTAATGTATGGATTTGGTTATTGTTAGCCCATTAACTTGGCCTATTATGAGTAAGTGGGGGCCCGAAACTAAACCTAATGTTTTATATACACATAACCGTGTGTTTTTCTTCTTTGTGGGTGTATATTGTTGCAAGAAAGAGAGGTAGCCAAGGAAGGAGCGAAAGGGGCCGAATTTTTTGGTGAATGCAAGGAAAATTCTACCATTGTTTCTTCTTCTCCTTCCTCCATTTGTAGCTTGCAAATACTACCACCAAGTGTCTCCTTTGTGGGGTTAAATCTGAGGCAACCAAAGGTGTTGAGGGTTGTTGGGTCGAGCCGGTTGATTGGTGTTCGTTTGGTTATTTTTTGAGCTCGAAATCAAGATTTCTAGAGGAATTTTCACGACAAATGGTATCAAATCTTGTGTTGTTGAGAAATCTATAATTTTTGGGGGCAAAAATAGGCTGGAAGTTGTCCAAAACGAAGCTAGAAAACAGCACAAAGAACTAGACGTGAAATTGGAATTTTTTCTTAAACTGCCGGATCTGTTTTGTTGATTTCCGGCTAAACTAGTAACCAGTTGGAAAAAGGCAACCCCCAATGACTGTACAAACCGAGGCAATTCAGTAGGAAAGACGCGTGGCCACCGACGCTAGTGAGTGAGGATTCCGACGAAGACGCTTGGCAGTGCGTGGGATCGATTTCAACGACGTTGCCAAAAGACAGAATGTTGCTGGTGGTGATACGGACTATAAGGTGTTGTCAGATTTCATGTTTGAGCAATATAGTAAAAGATGGACGATTTTGCCCTTTGACGTTGAGGTGTCGTGTGCCATTTTGTGTTGTTGCGATTGCTGGTGACTGTAGGATGAATAGTGATGATCCTAAAGTGGTGAATTTGCGTCTCCCGATATTTACGGACTTTTAGGCGTGGTCCACTCGGTATCATGTTCTTTACCTTTTATTGTTGTAGTTACAATTATTGTGTAGAGTAACTATTTATTTTTCGTATTAGAAGTCATCGTGTGGAGTGACGTTAGGTTTAGGGTTATCGTGGTCTTTACTTTAAATTCTTTATGAATTTGTTGTCAATTTTTCTACACTGTTAGAATTGCACGTGACAATATAAAAGTTTCTTTGATCATTCTATGTGAATTATGTTTACACTTTACTTACAGTCATTATTTGGTATTGATGGCATGTGTACATCTAAAGCAAATGCGAAAGGTAAAATGTGTTTTTAACTGGGGTAAATTTGGATATAGTGAAATAGACTGTCCTGAAAATGATGATAAAGGAAAGATAAGGAGAGAGGTAAGGTGAATGTTGTCATTGGGTTGAGTGGTAACGCGTGTGAGGTTTATAGAGAGTGAACCTAGTTGCTTCATGTGCATGTGTGTGATCCTTTCTGCATGTGTGATCACTTAATTTTATAGCAATATTGATATGCAACACATTCAATAAGGTTGATGTGTGTAATTGCATGAATTAGAGTGATCTTATTACTTTGTATAATGTGTTTGCATGCATAGTGTGTTGAGTTTTGTGGCGTGATCCTTTTGCTCTGTGAGTGGTTTTAGAGTGTGGTAGTGAGAAGAAAGATGGGCATCCATTTTCTCCTTTATCTTTGTGTGCCTATGTAGTTTGTGAGATTGTGTGAGGCAGCCATGTAGAGTTATCTTCTCTCTCTCTTTGTGAGCCTCTTTCATGAGTGTAGTGAAATAACTAACCCTTTTTTCTATTCTCTTTACGAGTGCCACCTTCGCCATTTCTTTTGTGGATTTTTTGAGCATTTATGGTTGGAGTAACTTTGTGGTACGTGGCTCAACTTTTAAATTGAGCCCTAACCTTTGTGGTCACTGAAACGTGTTGATTTGCCATAGGTAAAGTGAAGTATAGATACCTAGGGGTACATTGTGGTTTGTACCGAGAATATGGAATGTGACATTTGGATCACGAGTGGAGAGGTGATTTAATGTTGGAATAATTTATTTGTGAAGAAACCCTATACAGGTGGAGTGTAAGAGAGACACTTCTATGAGGTGAAAACCCATTATCCACATAGGTTGGAAGAAGTGATGTGGTGATAGAGAATTATCCTAATAACTTATGATCTACTATGATTTACCAGTCAGACATGGGTTTGAGTGATCAGTCTAGTGAGCATTGTGGGCGATGAGAGAAGATATGTGTTCTCGAGGTGTGAGCAACATGGAATGGGATAGGATAAGTATGGTGAGATCTTTTCGTGGGTCATTTATGCATTTGTTGCATGTGGTTGACCATGTGTTAGATTAAATTGGTGTTAATCTGTGGTTTTGTGTGACCATGTTTCTGAAAAGGTTTGTGTGTTTTAACCTATACTATATCGTCATCGCATATTTATTTGCTCTTTACTATTCACTGTGAATACTTGCTTCTACTTGGGTGTTCTTGATCTTAGCCCCAATGAGTACATGGAGCAGGTATGGTATGTGTTTCAGGTTGAAAATACGAGATAAGGTCTGTGTTCCAATTTTATTGGTTACCTTGATTATGCAAGTATAAATTTTGTGTTTTCATTGCTTGCAGTTTCTTATTCAAAATGAAAATTAAGACCAGTTAAACACCATTATCACTCATCTTCATTTGGAATTTGCAATGAAAGATCTTGGCACCATTCATCATTTTCTTGGAATTGAAGTCACAAAAACACTCAACGGCCTACACTTATCACAATTATATTATGCCTTGACTATTCTTGAGAGTGCTCAAATGACGGACTGCAAGCCTATGAGTACCCCTATGGAGTCCAAAATGAAGGGATTAACTGATGCTACCCTTCTTGATGATCCTAGCTTTTATCGCAAAATTGTTGGTGCATTACAATATTTGACACTAACAAGGCCTGATATCTCTTTTAGTGTTAATTTTGTTTCACAGTTTATGCAAGCTCCAACACAATCCCATTTCAAGATGGTTCAGCGCATTCTCCGTTACATCAAAGGCTCTCTACATCTCGGCATACATCTTACTTCTAACACCACTTTTGACCTATGTGCCTACTCTGATGCAGATTGGGCTGGTTGTCCAACAACAAGATGCCCTACTACAGGCTACTGCACCTATTTGGGTGATAACCTCATCTCTTGGTGTGCAAAGAAACAACAAACAGTGTCGCGCTCTAGCACTGAAGCCAAGTACCATGCTATGGCTCATGCAACTGCTGAGCTTATATGGCTGACCTTTCTTCTTCGTGATCTCCATGTTCCACTCTCTCGTCCTCTAACCCTCTTGTGTGATAATATCAGTGCACTCCGCTTGACTGTCAATCCAGTCTTCCATGCTCGAAGTAAACACATTGAGTTGGACTATCATTTTGTGCGTGAACGAGTTGCTCTTGGTTAGTTGATGACTCAGCATGTCTCCTCACCTTCCCAAGTTGATGATATATTTACCAAGCCTATGTCCAAAGCTCAACTTTATAATTTTAGGACCAAACTTTGCCTTCAGCCCCGGCAAAGTTTGCGGGAGGATATTGAGAAAAATTAGGACAACTGACTGAACATTGATTTTGTAATCCTACATAACTATGGTAAATCTGAATATCAAAGGAGAGATATGGTGTTAAAGAAAGAATAAGGGGACAAATATTCAAGATCACATGCCCAAAATTATTGGAGATCTATCAAGTAATTTACTGCACCAAAATGGCAAATTTGCAGCCACAAATGACTGACCATGCGAGAATGCGCCAAGCCATACTTTGGGACTCATTCATTGGCCATGCAAGGAAAGTTCAATTTCATTAGAATAGATCCACAATTCTCTGTACAAACCAATCTCTTCATTCCAGAATAATTGCGCACATCATCTACATACTCCTTATCTACTTCAAGACTATTCTGGATAGCATTTCCAGTATGTCTATATAAATGTAAAGAGGTTCTTGTAACACTCACGAAAAGCCAATACAATTCAAATAATTTTCTGAGATTTCCCTTTCTTTATCTCCAAGGTTACAACAAGTGGCGCTCTCATAGAAGAAGAAGGAGTCGTAAATGTTGAAGCAGTGGCCCTTTTCAAATATGCAGCATTTTGGAGGGATTAGATTTGGTAGGTGAAGGATGTTTAAGGGAAAGAGATAAATAATTGTTGTAATGGGAATGGGGGTGAACAGGGTTAGGGGTTAGGTGACAAACAATTGCTTTAATAATTTTAGAGAGAAAAGGATAACAAAAGAATGCTGAGTGAAAAATGAAAATTATGGCGACAATCGTGAATAGAGGTAGCGGGAGAGAGAGGAGAAAGTGGAAGCGAATATCATTTTTTTTATTTACTTATTTGGTACTCATTTGTATTTTTTTTTTTTTTGGAACATGGTTGAAATTATTTTTTTCTTCTGTCTTCATTTTATTTAATTGGGATGGTATATTCATTATTTTGTAATTTTTTTTATTTTTTTTTTTTTAGAGAAAATGGACGATAGGGTGTATCACACACTAAACATTTCAAACATGGATGTTTGTGTTATTTCCAAAAGGTTAGAGGTTTTCTGTAGTTTGGACAATAGGTGGGGATATTGTTTTAAAGATTTTAAATTTTGTTAGTAGTCAGTACTGATTGAATGATAAATGGTTTAACCAAAATCTTTAAGCTGCAATTTTATAGTTTTTTATACAACATGATGAGATTTCTTGTTATAACAATTACAGCTCTTGCAGGATAGATATTTTTAGATTTGTTTAATATATGAAAATAATGTTAGATTAAATTAATGTCTTTCCTTATTTCAGAATTTCGTTGTGTCCAAGTTTATTTGTTACGTGCACGTGAAAAAATAAAAAATAATAAAATAATAAAAAGAGGTTGAAATCTCTTGATTACATGGCCTCATAGAATTACGAAATCAACAGCATCCATTAATCAGTATAATATGTCCTCCATGTGTTGATAATTTCAACTTATTTGG